ATGTATGTAAGTATGTACAAATGTATGTATTTATGTATCTTTGTGCCGTGAAAATCAAAGATGCTAATTTTTGTTGTCGCTGTCGCCGGCGCTTGGCTGCTTGGCTGCTGGGCTCTCGAATTTATGCTCCATAAAATGGCTTGTTTAATTTGTTTAAGCTACACTCAAATCGTGGCACTTAAAACTCTGATTTGCAGGGCAAGGCGTGGTGCCATTTGGTGCCACAACCCAAACTGCAGCTCCAGCTGCACAGCGTGGCTTTTCCTTCTGTGTGTGACAAATGCCCGTCAGGTAGATTTGCATATGCATATAGGAATGAGTACCAATGCAGAATGATATATGGCCCTGCATATGCATGAGCAGGAGAACCTTTTTCCTGGCGCCGCCGCCGCTTTCAGGGCCAAGTCCTTTAAAGCAACACCACCAAGCTGAATAGAACAGAACTACATATGTAAATCTAGCGCAGTCATTCATTAAACATCAAAATGAACCACAAGACTGGGCCTCAGCTCATTCCATATGCAGCCAGCATGGCCCGCCAATTGTTGTTGCTGCTGCTGCTGCTGCTGTTGCAGTTGCAAATTGTAATTTGTAATTTGCTTATCCGATCACTCTTGCTAATTCGCGGCACATTCGAGGCGCCCACAACCAATGGCGGCGCCAAATCATTGTGGCAAAAATTGATTTTCATTTGATTTTCCATAGCCGCACTGATTCATGAATGGCTCATTATGCGCTCGTTGAGCATGGGAAAGCACAACAGTTTGTGCTGCACATGAGACGCTCACGTGAGCAAAATATGCAAAGAAAATTAATCATAATTGGATTTAAATGTAGTCTTTTTGTGTTTACAGACTTGCATAATTATCAGAAATTTGTGGGAGCTGAATCTATAGCTGATTCTTAGGAGCAGAAAACATCTGGTAATCGATGTTAATGTGGAAGAAGCTGCTTCAAGTTATGGAAATAGTTGCTTTGATTAAGAAAAGTTCATCCACAGCTGCTCTGCATGGCCTCCTTTCCTTACAATTTTCAGTGCGTTAAAGGTAAGAATTGGGACCAGCTATAATATTAAAATATGTTAGGGTATTAAAAGTTAAGCATACCCTCTTCAGAGACAATAAATAATTGATTCAAATACAATTTGCTTGCCTTAAGTTTGTGTACTTTTGGGACGATCTAAATCACGAAACGTTCGAAAGGGCAGCTCTGGCCTGGCCTGAACTGTGTCTAGCCTGGGCGAGGGTCAGGCGGCTGATGACTTGATTGAATTCGCATAGGCGCTAGATGGAGGCCCTCATAAGCAATGCAGTTGGCGTAGGCCAGAGTTAGATGAAGCGTGGTTCGGGGCAACACGACAAAGCACAAGGCTCCCAGCAGCAGCAGCAGCAGCGGCAGCAAAAACAATGACAAGCCTCTTTGTTATGCACGAGCTGCGTTCTTGTCTGGGGCACATTAAAGACACATGAATGGCCTGGCAATAAATATTATTTAAAATGTTTGCCTTTATGGCATGCTAAACGAGACACCAGCCAAAGGCAGCAGCAACAATTGCGACACTAAGCCACCATAAGCCTATTATTTAATTTGCAAAGAGAATGAATCGCTGGGCAGACACAGGAGAGAGTGGAGTGTGGAGAGTGGAGAGTGGAGACAGTGCAAATGAACTTTAAAAGCGCCCGAAAAGTAGACAACAAGAAAAAGTTGCAGACGCCAGGACGAGGCCAGGAGCAAGACCGAAAGACCGAAAGACCAAGACGTAGACCGAGACAGAAAATATTGTAGACGCGACAGCATCATCAGTCATCACCCTCGCGACGGCATCTCGAGGGTTGCAAAAAGGGCACCAAAAACTCAACAACAAGGGCCACAGCAGATATGCACAGAACGATGGCCAAAAAAACTTTATATCTATCCGCCGTTTGTTGTTGTTTTTGTTGTTGTTTTTGTCTTTGTTGTGGGCAAACAACAAGCGAAACAGACGCAATTCGTTACGGCCAGATACGGCTACAAATATCTGTATCTACCAGCTACAAAATAGTGATGCTGGGGGGAGCCCCAGCCCTAGCATAAAACTTTGATGACTGCGACTGCGACTGCGACTGCGGAGTCCAGCAATTGGCTCGATGTCGATGCCAAAGTTAAACATTTTCTGGGAAACAATTTATCCAGGCTACACTTTCATGTTAAATCAATTGAACTCAGGCGTGCGTGGACTGTCATTCCTTCTGGCATTGTTGCCACAGACACACGCACAGCACGGCAGACAGGGGGCCTGCTGACTGTTACCGTTAGTGCTGGCATGGCCCAATGGCCACAGTTTATACCGCTAACAAGGCTAATTGGTCATGAGGCCTCCGCTCCGACTTTGACTCCTCGCATCCACTCGTCTTGGCCAGTGGACCAGTCTTGATTTTATTCCTGTTTGGCTCGCTGCGCGTTGTCCTTGTCCACCCACCTGTCCACCTGTCCACCTGTCCACCTGTCCACCTGTCACATCACACAATGGAAATCACTCGACATTGTCGCTGGGCATTTGCCTCCAACGATTCACTTGCTCACGGCCAAGGCACACAGCGAAAACTCAACTGTCGCTGGCTATTTATTTACTCAAGCATTTGCCCTGGTTGTCCTGGTCCTGGTTCTGGTTCTGGTTTTCGGCTTTGATGGATGGCACTTAGCGAGGGTTGTCTCTGTGGTTGGGCTAGTGGCACTGACCGTTGACAGTTGCAACAGGGTGAGAGCTCTGCCAAGTGTTTTCTCCTAAAAGGGAAAGAACTCTTTGACGCATTTCAAAGAGAATTCTTAGAAATCTTAAGTCAGTTAATTTTAAATATGAATCACAATCATGAACAAAAATTCCCGACTGCGGTGCGGAAATTTCTGTAACACTCATTCGGCTCGTTCGGTAGATTTGCAATAAGAAAGCGTCAAGCAAATTCACAATGAAGCAAGTTTCGAGTTTGCCCTTGAGGACCTTTTGTCAGGAACTTCTGCTCACTCCACTGTCTGGTGCACCCTGTATGGTGGCGGCAACTCAGTTGTCCCAAACCACCCACAGAATGTGGCCCCATCCTCGGGCTGCCTGCCAGTGTCGTTTGCTCTCTCTTTGCATGTCCGGCATTTCGCACCAATTGTTGCCCATAAAATTTGCACGTATAAAGCGAAAAATGCCAAAAAATATTTCACGACAGCGAGAGACAGTGGCGGCGGCGGAGGCAGCGGCAGAACAAGAAGCGGTGGCGGCGGCGGCGGCGGCGGCGGCGGCGGCGGCGGCGGCAGCAGAATCAGAAACAGAGCAACAGCGACAAATGCCGGCAACACGTAGCCGGCAATTGCTGGGATTGCCATTCGGATTGAGAACTGTGAATGGGAATGGGCATTGGGATTGAGTATGGTATTGTGGATTGGGCTGTGGAAGCTGGGAGCGGGTGGGTTTTTGTTTCTTTGCTTCATTTGCTTTATTGTTGGCAATGCGACAAATTTCACGCTCAAATGTTCGACACGCGCCGGCGCAGTGCAGCCTCCACCGATGCTGTTTGAAACCGAAAGGAGCAGCAGGCAGCAGCAGGCAGCAGCAGGCAGCAGCTATCCAAAGGATGCCGTCAAAGCGGAAATGTTCAGTTCATTAGCGAAACGTGCGCGTCGTGTAATGGACGTGCCCCACCAGTGAGCTCAACGGCATTGAATCCCATTTGAATCCCGTGCTGCGGCCTGAGCCCAAGTGAAAGAGTGAGTGAGTGAGGAGAGCGCGCGCGCGACTTCTATGGCCAGAAAGGAGTTCGGCATCGGCATCTGGAGTGGGAATCAGAGACAAAGCCAAGTGCGAAATTGCCAACTTCTGGCGTAATTAAATAATTAATTGGAATCAAACAAGAGAATTTCGCACAAAAACCAAAAACAATTAACAAAGGAAAAGACGCTGGCGGGATTTTTGTTTTATTATAAGAAAGGTCAATAATCAGCACCGGAGAGGGGAGTCTAACGTCACGCACGCATAGTACACCCATAGTCCAAGTCCAAGTCCAAGTCCGAGTCCGAGTCCGAGTCCGCATCCGAGGGTAATGGGCATGGACATTGGGCCAAAAACCGGTTAACCATCTTCATGCCTTATTTGTCGTAGTTTGTCGAGTGCGTGCAGAGCGAGTCTCTGGGAGTTTGGCAACAATGAGCGTTGTTTAATTAGAAGCGGCGCTGTAGCCCCAACACCTGTACATGAATTTGTATTGTAGAGTTAGCAGGCGGCACCAACAGCTCTTCCACAGCCTCGGCTTCGACCGCAAAGCGCCGCTTGATGGCCAACTGACTGACTGACTTGTGGCCAAAAGAAGATGCTCTTGCCACAGCATCGCAGTCATCATCATCATCATCATCATTATCATCATCATCGTCTTCCATGTATCCCCCCCGCCAAACATCATTATGAGCCGCGCGAATTCTTCTTTGTGGCCATGGCAAAGACCACGACCACGACCACGACCACGAGACCAAGAGCAAGAGCAAGAGCAAGCCGAAGAGTCCGAAGACGAAGACCAAGAACTTGCCGACGCTGACGTCGTCTTCGTCTGAGAGATGAGCGGCGAGTTGTTGGCCAAAGTTACATGGTGGCGTCGCAGTCGCTGTCGTAGTCGCAGTCGCAGTCGCCGTCGCCGTCTCCAAAGCTTGCTCTCTCCGCAGCGTCAGCGTCGCGAGATCCAATTGATGAACATTTGACTGTGTGCCAGTGTGAGTGTTGGGAGAGTGAGTGCACGCTCTCTCTCAGCGTGTGTGTGCGTGTGCTTGTGTGAGAGGTTCTTTGCGCTCTCTCTCTCTCTGTCGCGTCGCTCTTTACGTTCGCTGTTGCTGCGCTGCTGCTGCTGGTGTGCTGCTGCTGCTGCTGCTGCTGCTGCTGCTGCGCTGCTGCTTGCTTCGTTCGTTTGATTTTCTCCAAATCGCCGCACGACGTAGGCTATATAAATAAGCACCGCGAACCCAATAGCTCCGAGTCTCTTTGAATTTTATGAAGCGGTTGTATCTTGGTGGTGCCCCCCAACCAGCCAACCGAACGGCCAACAGAACCCCCAGTTGGTACCACAGCAGCAGCAGCCGCACCAGCAGAATCTTCTTGTAAAAACTCTTTTGCCTTTTTACCCCCAAAAAGCAAGCCAACGAACACAGTGGATTATTCCCAAATAATTGTTAACAATCAAAAAAGCGAAAAGTGAACAAAACACACTAACACAGAGAATACAACAAAATAAAGTGCGCGAAATGTTGTGCAACGTGTAAAAAGAGCCAACACAAAGGATCTGATAACTGTGCAAGGACTGCAAAACGAAAACCCAAAGATACAAACGCAAAGATACAAACCGCCAGTGCACCGCAGTGGCTACCAGTGCACCACACACATAGAATCTCCGCAGAGTTCTAAAACGAAAGATTTGCTCGTTCGTGCTGTTAATTGAGTGAAAAAAGGTGAGTTTTTTACCAAAGTGGATCTCAAAGGGGTCCTTGGAATGGGACAGTCTGCAAAGCTTTTTGCAAAACAAGTTAAAAGTTTTCTCGATAATGCTGTGATTTTTTGTGTGGGAGAATTAATTTTTTTGGCTTAAATTTTGCAAAATTCTTTATTTTTAAAAAGAAATATCTATGAGAACAAAACAGACTAAATAAAAAAAAATGTTTAAATCATATATAAATTTTAAAAAGTTAACATTTTTTAACAACAAAAAAAGTTTAACAAAATATTTTATTTTTTTATTAAATAATGCAAAAAGTTAAATTAAAAAAAAAATAATAAAAAAAAAAATTAAAAATTTCGAATTTTGATTATATTAAATATAAAATCCGAAATTACACATACTTTAAAGAAAATATTTTCTAAGATTTTATTTAAACTAAATTCTAAATTATTTCCTAAGGAATGATTTCCCACTAAGCCTCAATCTATTTTGATTTATATTTCAAAAGTCTGTGAAATGCATTTCCCAATCGTGCACAAATTCCCATTCTGGGCAAGAACATTTCCAAAGATAATTTCTAGAAATATTCCTACTGTGGCCATGACTAACACAAACCCAATGGCAGGTTTCGCTAGGGCTAATGATAATTAATTTGCGGATCATTTAAACCCGGGTATATGCACATGTGTGTGAGGCTGGTTGCGCAATTGTTTGAACTTGATTCAATAATTATTCATTTCCCCTAACTCGTTTGCAACTCTCACGCCAGTGGGCAGTGGACAGCTCTTTGTAGGGCAAAAACCAGACCTCCATTGCGGTGGGCAAAGGGGGTGAACAGAGAGCTGAGGGGTTAATGGTGATGAGAAACTGCAGTGACTTTTGGCTGCATAAGCCGCTTTAATCTTTACGGCAGCCAATTAATAAAAATGAATTTGCTTGCAGCCAAATTAAAGCAGGAGCCCAGCCAGCCAGGCGTTAAAACGGCCTCAAAGTTATTCATTCATAAACAAGAAATTGCAGTGGGAACATCGAAAGCCGACGACTTAGACGCCCTGCACAGATGGAGCATTTTTAGAGAGATTTTTGCGGAAAGACATTTTGCAATTACGCCCTGAAAGTGTATACAAAAAAGAGTCTGCTGGCGTTGCTGCTGCTGCTGCAAATTGCAACCATTCATTCGCTGGCTCATTCATTCATTCAGAAATGGCGGGCTCCCCGGCTGGTTGCACAACTAACGGGCCACGCTCAGGCGTAAATGCCACGCGCCTTGGCAACGGCAACTTCAACTTCAACAGCAGCAGTCTGCGACTCCGTCTACAGCTGCAGCCTTTGGCTATTTGCATTGTGAAAATAGTTTTTGGGCTGTGTTTTAATTTATGAAAGGCCATTCCGCGCTCTCGAGCCTCGCTGCTGGTCCTTGCACAAAAAAACAAAAACCATAATTAGAATTTATGCCCACAGCAGCTGCTGTTGGGGAAATCTTTAAACAGGAGAACCGAGCGGCCGGCCGCTCTGCGTCGACATTTGTCAAAACTCGTAAAAACGAAAATGGCTCGAATGAAAAAGCTTTTAGTTAGCCATAAATAATACAAACTACTGGCCCGGCCGGACCACCCAGCATCACCCACAGAAAGTGCCTCAAAGCGATGTATTTATAGTTGTTACACGATGGTCCTGCCAGCAGAGTCCTGGCTCTGGCTCTACTGCCGGACCGGGGGCCCAATAAAAAATGCAAATAAAACTCTGCCGCAATATGTGACCGAGCGAACGTCCGTCCCTGTCTGCTCCTCAAACATTTTCAACCTGACTTTGAGTGTTATTTGGTTTGCCAGAGATTTCATTGGCAGCTGGCCAGACCAGAGAGACAGCCCGGAGTGAGGGGCAGTCAGGGCCATGGCCAGAGACTGCCCAGAGACTGGACAGCAGCAGCAGCAGCAGGTGTTTGGTTTTAGTTGACATTTTTTGTGTGTCGGGTAAACTGTCCCTTGGCCATGAACGGAAATAGTGTGATTTATAGACAATTTCTGTGTGTTACAACTCCGAGAGCGAGCAACATTTTTGACAGCAGTTCTGTCTGCAGCGGCGCCAGCAGGAAAATGCCAACGGATTTATTGATGAGACCAGCAGGAAAAGTATTCGATACAGAGTTTAGTTTTGGTTGTGGTCAACCCACACACTTCTAGCACACATCTAACACACAACCCCAAAGCAAGTCCTTTTCCCATGCCGAATCCCCCTTGAGCATTTCTTGGTTTCTGTGGTTTCAGCACTTTTTTCTGGCATCTGCTGCAGCATTTTAATTAAAAATGCCTCAAATGTCTCCGACTTGGGGCTCCAGCCGGAAAAGCCATGTCAATAATGACATAAATGCCTCGTCTTTGGGCACTTTAAGGTGTGCTGCCTCTGCCTCTGCGGTTGGGAATTGAATAGGAATTGAAGCTGGCATTTGGCTTAACCATCCGCACTTCCGCTGCCCCGGGAGACAGCAGAAACTTGGCAACTTTGTCAAAGCAGAAAGAAGTTTTAAAAGCTTATCGTTGGGCACAACTCTGCGTATGATTAATGCCAAGCCCCATGCCGAATGCTGTGCAAAAGTTTGATGAACATTCCCCCCACTTTCCATAGTCACTTTCAATATCAAATTCGAATTCATTTCATTCAAGTTTCGCTGCTTTGGGACCTTTCTCTTAGAGACCAATCCTCGGTGGCTCCTCTGACTCTGCTGGCGAATTATCATAACAATTAAAAGCCACTGCAAGCGAGGCCAAAAAAAGTTCTTCAGCTTTATGTTAATTTATTATAATTTTTGGTCTTCTAGAGGGAAAGATTGAGGCAAAAAAGTCTTTAAAATATTTAATTGGCTGGCATGAAGCTTCTTGCTACTATTTTAAGTTATGATGCGGACACACCTGAGCGCTGACATCAGCGCGGATCAGAACACAGACAGGAGCCAGCCCTGCGGATATTCTGGCACTGGGAAACAGACAAATTACCTAATGATAGGCTGGCTGGATGGCCGCGGCTAATGTCTCATTGTGGGGCCAACATTCTGTGCCGTTAGCAACGAGAAAAGAGCGGCTGAGCCTTCACATCACATAATCTAATTAGAGTCCCCAACATTATGCAAATGATATGCTCCGGCTAATTGAGTGAAAAGCTGTGCGAAAGCCTAATGAGACGGGTGGGGACATGCAACTGCGACACTCGACTATCAGTTAATCGGATTAGGGCCATGTGTTATGACACACTTATGTCTGCTGTCTGCTCAAAGCCTGTTGCCATGGATCTGCTGCTGCAGAAGACGGGAAACATTTTTGGCAAGCTGTTTCGCTGGATCAAAAAGCTTGTTGCCTTGCCTTAGGCCAAGTGTTTTTCCCACTTGAGACGGCGGCAAAACTAAACATCATCCCAGCGCGCAGTCCGCGAGTCTTTTTGTATTTTTAAAGTTTAATTGAGTAAATCGGTTTATGTAGTTGTGCCCGGGCTGGCCCTAAAGAAAGTAAGCGCATCTAAGCCCATTACGAGCGAGGCAACCAAACGACACTTGTCTCGCATTACGCCCAAACAGCGGCAAGGTTAAATCGTGAGCCAGGGGGGAACATGCCACAAGAACTTGCTGCTGCGACTCGCGGGCCTAAAGTGTGTCGTGGGGCGCAAATTTCTCTAACCCAAATTGTTGTTGCTGCCTCCGTCTTTGGTTTCGGGGCGCCGATCTGGTTTGCCACACAGATGCTTTCGAGTTCAATAGCCAAAGAAAGTGTCTGACGATAGAAAGAAAAAGTGTGCGATGCAGAACCAATGGAGAGCAGAGCCAATGCAGAGCTAATGTAGCTCCAGCGACATACATTTTAATGGCTGGCACTCCATGCCCATGCGTAATGCCTGTTATCAGGCCTCGCCAAATGCATTTGCCAAGTGCCTGTTAATGGGACAGGGAGATGGAGCCAAGAAGTGTTAGTGCAACGAGCCATTAGGCCAGAAGCGCTTTTATGAGCCCAAAGGATGGGCGAGCCAGGGTCCATTTGAAGGCCATTTAAAGCCAGCCGCAGAGCTTTGTGCGCTGCGTTCGTTATGCCTCTTAAAGTCTAGAAAATATCATTTGATTTAATTTGCAACAGCGCAAATAATGGAGCATGAATTGGAGTAGGGCCAGCCAGCATCAATGCGGTCAAGGTGTCAACGCTGCTCGCTGCCAATTCTCTCTCCCGCCTGCCATATTTTTGCCAGCTTATTAGCTTGGCCAAACTAATGTGTTTGTGGCCAGCTAGCCTCAGAGCGCCAATACAGTTATGGGGCCAACACAATTAAGCCAACGGTTCCACAAAAATTGGCAGCAGTCAGCAGAGAGCAGTCAGCAGAGAGCAAACCCAACTGGAAAGCCCATAAATTAATTCAATCGCCCGATTCAGCCAGTGTTCGAGTGGTGGCTGCAATTGCCCTCCAGGCAACAGCCAAAGCTACGATCGAATCAGCGACAAAGATCAGTCGAAAATATCGAGAAATTCTTTTGTGAGAAAATATGCGAAAAGTCGTCGACGGGCTGCGACTGCGACTTCGACTCGCAACGCTGGCCATTCCACGAGCTGAATAGTCAAAAGAAATCAGCAAGCAAAGTAACAAAAACTCAAAAGAAATTCCCCCCCTTCCCGCGAGAAAAAAACAAGTTCGTAGCCGCTGTAGCCGGAGGCCAAAGACAGCGAGAAATCTAAGAGTGAGGGTGATGGGGAGCGCAAAGATGTTTCTACGTTTCTTGAATGAAATTAATTTCCATTGTTTGCAGAGTAAATAGGTAGGCAATAAAGGGAACTACAGTTAGGCAACTCGAGGCGCAGAAATATGCCAAATGAACGAACCAAACAAATTGATGTGTGAGCAGCAGCAGCAGAAGGCGATGATGATATGGATGAATCGATCGATTATGCCTACCAAAAGCTAAAGACATGCACTCTCAAAGCACAAGCAACGCTCAGCATTGCACATTCCCTCCCGTCTTTGGCTGTTCTTCAATCGTGC